AATCTATCAAAATCAGTTTCTAATCAATTAAACAAGTCCAATAACTAAAAACCCCCAAATTTCATTCGATTCTAATAATAACTGTTCAAACTCGAACCCTAACTCAAAATTATTCAAATCTAACCAAAATCAAACTTTCTCAAGCTTAAAACTCGAATCAAAGAGTAGGTTTCAAATCAAAGGGTTTTACCTCAAATCAGTTGCTCGAGCTTTGTCTCCCTCAATTTATCTGTTTTTCATTTTTTTTTTGGTGATTCTCAGCCAAACTGCCGAGAGAGAGAGGGATAGAGAAACCCGGAGAGAGAGAGCAAGGGAGAGAGAGAGGACGCCGGCAGGAGGAAGCCCGGAGAGGGAGGTGGCCGGCGGTGGAAGAAATTGGAGAGAGAGAGAGAGAGAGAGAGGTGGCTGTGCGTGAAGAACTAGAGAAGAAGAAGAAGAAAGAAAAAAAAAGGAAAGAAAAGGGTGGGCTGGCGCACGGGAAGGGAAAGGGGGAAAGGAAAAAAAAGAAAAGAAAAAAAAGAAAAAGAAAAAGAAAAGAAAAGGAAAAAAAAGAAAAAGAAAAAGAAAAGAAAAGGAAAAAAAAAGAAAAAGAAAAATGGAAAAATGGAAAATGTATTAAATTTAAGTATGTTTTCCAAAAATCTTTGGGGTGAAATTATAAATACTGAAAATAACTTAAAGTCTCTTGATTAATTATGAAAATCAAATTAGGCACACTAATAATCCACAGTTTAGCATAATTAAACATGTTTAATTCTAGAGGGCGTTACAAGAGGTATGAAATTTATTACTGAAGCTGTGAAATGCCCTAATATTTGTCTGTGATTTGGTTGAAAATTTCATTCCTATTGTTACTTGAAGCGGTTTTCGCTACATTATTGTTGATTATGTTTGTTGTTGATGTTTAAGCATGTTGAGTTCCTTCTCCTGTCAAGATACATGACCTCTGAAAGATTCAGATTTTCCTCCATTTATTTTCATCTGCTATCATCACATGATGCGAACTTGAAAAAATAAAAAACAACAAATAGCTCACTCCACACAACAAATGGAAAGCAATATCATAAACTCTCATAACAATTATAAGGTTGCATCATTTTTAGGAATAAATTTATCCCTTACAAGAATGGAGTATGACTCACGGTTGAAAACCCTGTAAATAGAAAACCGTCCAAATCAGCATACATTTACACAAATTATACACAGCTTTGAACATTCACAACATTTATTGTAATCGAAACATGTTTTTCCAATTCACTATTAATTCCAGCAACCTTTTGTTCTCCTACTCCGATTACAGTCCCTCTAAGTTAGTGTTTTAAAAATTGGATAGTTACTCCTTAATTTAGGGGTAAGCAGGGGAAAAAATTACAATTTAAAAGTAAAATAAAATTGTGATGGCAGGTATTGAACTCTCTTTCATAATCTAAACTGCACTTTTAGACAATGTTGCTATGACGATTAATATGTGTTTAATGGCCTAGTTCCTTGTGTTGAGCGATATTCGAAGCTATGACAATTATCAGTTGCCGGTTTATCCAAATCATTTTGGCATATTGTTTATCTGTGACAAAGAGAACTATGGCTTCCTACGCTTGTTTGACTGCACTCTGATTGCCATTTGGACCAATATGCCTTAGTTAGCTTAACCTTGATAGCATAATTGTTATTGGCTAGGATACTACTCCATAGGTGGACTGCTAAGGCCATTATGCACTCGATATCCTAATAAGTTCATGGCTGCTTATTACGTAGATTTTTAAAGTACACATAGACTAATATGTGTTTATTGGCCTAGTTCCTTATGTGGAGTATGTTTATTCGATGGTGTGATATTTATTAGTTGCCGGTTTTTGCAACAACTATTGGCATATTTTGCGTTCCTAATGTTCAACACTCACTCATACTATCTTTCGTTATGTTCATGTGCATCAGTGAACTAACCATTATGATTCATTCGTTATTATCTACTTTCGTTTGTCCTTTTTTTTGGCTTTTCATTTCTCTTGGTCGAGTTTAGAATTCGAGTTTTGCTACAATAAAAAGCTCTCACAAACAGTCACATTTAACTTTTTTGCTACAGTAAAAAACTCTCACATAAAATCACATCTCAACTCGAATCAGCGAAACAAACGAGACCTAAATTAATTCACTAATAGAACACTTTATTTTGATTGTTTGATTATTTGTTTAACAGTTAAATCTAGTTAAATCTACAGAATGAGCAGTTCTATCAACTATGTAGCGCGCTGTAAAATTTTAATACTGACATGCGTGGAGTGTTCTATCGGTGAATTTTTTTAGGGACCTCAACGTAAATACAATCTTATTTTATTAGGGGATTTTTTTTTATTTTATTATGCCCCTCGTTAGTTTGGCTGATCGTATGGATGGAAAGATACACAAATACAAAAAGCAGTAAAAAGGGCAACCCTCTTTTTGAAAAAATATATATAAAAGGGCAACTTACCTGAGTATTAATTAATTATTCAAAACAAACTTACATGAGCATTTCTTCAATTTTAGTAGCTAGTCTTTTTTTTTTTTTT